TAATGCATTACATAACTTCGAAGCAAAATAAATATTATTTTAGTTCTAAGATAAATCTTGAAGATAAACTAAACACATGACTTTGACGGTCTCCGAGCAGTGATCCCATCACCATTCCCGACTGATGTCACGACTTCACTTCTTCTCTCCTTGTGAGCTCTTTGTAGTCCCTGCATCGGTTTGCAAAATGAGAGCAACCGATCAGTATCAAATACTAATGACATACAGAAATTTACAAGTAGAATAACATTAACTTTGTATAATGATTATACCTTTACTAGAATAACCGTTCTTCTTACTCGCCCAATACTTCTTGCAGTTATGCTTCTAGTGTCCCTTCTGCTTGCAGTAGAAACGTCCAGTCTCTTTAGAGGTTTCGCCCTTGTTCTTCTTCTGAGACTCAGTCTTACCAGCTTCCCTTTCTTCTTGAGACTGGTGGTCTTGTTCACCATCAACACTATCTTATTCTTCTGCATTCCAGCTTCTGCAGTTTTGAGCATAGCAAACAACTCGTTTGCACTTCTCTCCATCCCATTCATGTTGTAGTTCATGATAAAGCCATCATAAGATGGGAGGAGTGAAGCAAGCACAATGTCTGTACCGAGTGTCGGCGGAATTCCAAATTCCAGAGAAGCTAGTCAATCAACATAGCCAGCAAGATTTACTATATGCTCATTCATTGAGGAACCCTCTTTCATCTTGCATTCAATCAAGGCCTTGGTTAATTCAAAACGCTCGGTCCTTGCCCGCTTCATGTACAGAACTTCCAGTGACCCAAGTTGAGGACGAGGACGCCGAGGTCGTGTAGCCCCTGGGCACCCACACCTGCGCCGCCCCTGCCGTGCTCAGCGTAAGGGCCATCCTCTCGATGGCCGCGAACGAGGGGGAGGGGGCGGGGATGGCCTTCGGCTTCCATCTCTGCCGCGTCTGCTTGCCTTGCCGGAGACGTCGTTAGGGTTTGGGAGCTCGAGAGGAGGAGGAGGGGCGTACGTGGTCGCGGCGAGGAGGCATTGCGAAGGTCGGGGTGGGAAGGAGGAGGAGGCGGCTGGGGCTGTGGGAGAAAGAAAGGGGGAGAGCGACATATAAGTGCCGGGCACGACGCCGGGGCAGGGGATGGAAGTCGGTGGGGAAGTGGCGCCGCCGAAGGCACGTCTAGATCAAGAGGGTTTAGCGGTCGTGGCAGGAATGCTAATGCTAAGACTTGGGCCGGGCCATTTTTGAGGCTCGCCTGCAATGGCGCATTATTGTGGGACGGCCCACTACCAAGTTACTCCTTCTGTATTATAACTATGTTAGTGTCAAAAAGCATCTTATATTTTGATCCCAGCGGGTTTTATTTTTCAGTGAGCAAGCGCTGGTTTTTTAGCATCATTTTTTTCTTGTTTCATCATTTTTGTTTCTATTTTTTTTCTTATTTGCATTTGTATTCTGAAACATAAAGTGTATATGGCACATTAAAGAATGTTCTGCAGTTTACAAAAATGTTCACGCAACTAAAATGTCGATATCATTAACAAATATGTTGGTGACATTTGAAGAAAATGTGCACGCATTACAAAAAAGTGTTCATGACATCTTCAAAAAATGTTTGTGCTTAAAAAAAGTTTCATACCATTCAAAAAATATTCAATGTGTATTTAAAAACTGTTTTACATTTATTAGAAAAATACTCCGACATGCATTTGGAACAAATATTTATCAAGTATTAAAAAAATACAATGCAAAAAAATATTTATGTACTTTAAAAAATCATATCATTAAAAAAGATCCACATGTATTTGAAAAATGTTTAATATGCATTATAAAATCTTCAAACACATGCATCGTGTATTTGAAAAATGTTCAACATGTATAAAAAAAGTACCGTGTGATACAAAAGATGTACAACATGTATTGAAAAAGTATACATATATTAAAAAAGAACGAAGAAACCTGATAAAAACACATATAATCAAAGAAGGAAAAAAATGAAACATGTATTGAAAATATTTTTAGTGGGCTTTACCCCCAATTGAATAGATATCCGACTATTCATATGCAAGAGTTACTCCAAAAAAAGGCTATTCATATGCAGCATGAGTTAGTTCCTTTCAATGGTCCGGATATTGAAATGCAACGTGGCAGATCTATCGACAACGAGAAGGATGCAACCAACAATGCGACAAAAACAACAATGAAACCAACAAAGGATACACGATCTTGTAAGTGAAAACGTACCAATGCGATGATTATGATCTACAATTGTTGTATATGAGGCTAGCAATGTATATGTATGCAATGGAATGCACTGTAAAAGGTTTCGTATATGTGCATACGAGATGAATAT